GTCCATATGTGACGAGCTGGTGCTCAGACTCATGTCACTATAAACTGTGTCACAGCAGTGGCTATGACAAAATGCCATCATTGTAATGGCTTGTGAATGAGAAGGAAAAATGGTGGCTCACCAGCATCACTGCTTGTATGCAAGGAAGTCACTAGAAAGTCTTCATTTAACATGGTGGTTATTTAAATATGGGAATCCATCAAACTGCGATATAAGGAATTCTACTACCAACACAGCTCTGATGTGGCAATGAAAAAGAGAAAGTCAGGAGTTAATGGAAATAGATGAGCAGGGTGTGAAATGTAACAGCAAACCTGACGACATTCAAATAATTAAGACCAACACAGACAGATACTTTTTGCTAATCACACTAAGAAATGCTGCGAATTGCCTGAGCAAGCTTTTGGACAGTAGCATTTGTAAAATCATGCAAATGAACACACAAGGTTATGTTGAATTTTACTTTATGACTGTTAGATCCAAATAATAGGTGTTGGAAAATGTACAGTGGCTTGCAAAAGTATTCGCCCCCCTTGAACTTTCCCACATTTTGTCACATTACAGCCACAAACATGGATCGATTTTAGTGGAATTCCACATGAAAGACCAACACAAAGTGGTGCACACGTGAGAAGTGGAACGAAAATCATACATGATTCCAAACATTTTCTACAAATAAATAACTGCAAAGTGGGGTGTGCGTAATTATTCAGCTCCCTGAGTCAATACTTTGTAGAACCACTTTTTGCTGCAATTCCAGCTGCCAGTCTTTTAGGGTCTGTCTCTACCAGCTTTGCACATCTAGAGACTGAAATCTTTGCCCATTCTTCTTTGCAAAACAGCTCCAGCTCAGTCAGATTAGATGGACAGCGTTTGTGAACAGCAGTTTTCAGATCTTGCCACAGATTCTCGATTGGATTTAGATCTGGACTTTGACTGGGCCATTCTAACACATGGATATGTTTTGTTTTAAACCATTCCATTGTTGCCCTGGCTTTATGTTTAGGGTCGTTGTCCTGCTGGAAGGTGAACCTCCGCCCCAGTCTCAAGTCTTTTGCAGACTCCAAGAGGTTTTCTTCCAAGATTGCCCTGTATTTGGCTCCATCCATCTTCCCATCAACTCTGACCAGCTTCCCTGTCCCTGCTGAAGAGAAGCACCCCCAGAGCATGATGCTGCCACCACCATATTTGACAGTGGGGATGGTGTGTTCAGAGTGATGTGCAGTGTTAGTTTTCCGCCACACATAGCGTTTTGCATTTTGGCCAAAAAGTTCCATTTTGGTCTCATCTGACCAGAGCACCTTCTTCCACATGTTTGCTGTGTCCCCCACATGGCTTGTGGCAAACTGCAAACGGGACTTCTTATGGTTTTCTGTTAACAATGGCTTTCTTCTTGCCACTCTTCCATAAAGGCCAACTTTGTGCAGTGCACGACTAATAGTTGTCCTATGGACAGATTCCCCCACCTGAGCTGTAGATCTCTGCAGCTCGTCCAGAGTCACCATGGGCCTCTTGGCTGCATTTCTGATCAGCGCTCTCCTTGTTCGGCCTGTGAGTTTAGGTGGACGGCCTTGTCTTGGTAGGTTTACAGTTGTGCCATACTCCTTCCATTTCTGAATGATCGCTTGAACAGTGCTCCGTGGGATGTTCAAGGCTTGGGAAATCTTTTTGTAGCCTAAGCCTGCTTTAAATTTCTCAATAACTTTATCCCTGACCTGTCTGGTGTCTAAATCCAATCGAGAATCTGTGGCAAGATCTGAAAACTGCTGTTCACAAACGCTGTCCATCTAATCTGACTGAGCTGGAGCTGTTTTGCAAAGAAGAATGGGCAAAGATTTCAGTCTCTAGATGTGCAAAGCTGGTAGAGACAGACCCTAAAAGACTGGCAGCTGTAATTGCAGCAAAAGGTGGTTCTACAAAGTATTGACTCAGGGGGCTGAATAATTACGCACACCCCACTTTGCAGTTATTTATTTGTAAAAAATGTTTGGAATCATGTATGATTTTCGTTCCACTTCTCACGTGTGCACCACTTTGTGTTGGTCTTTCACGTGGAATTCCAATAAAATTGATTCATGTTTGTGGCTGTAATGTGACAAAATGTGGGAAAGTTCAAGGGGGCCGAATACTTTTGCAAGCCACTGTAAAACTAAATTTTAGAGAACCCCAATCACTTGGAGGTTCTCTAAAACTTGTGCGATGTGCGATCGTGGCTCAAGAGTTAGCGCCACCTCTCTGGTCAGAGGCGGCACCAGTGTCTGGCCGCCTCGCTTCTGTCAGTGTGTCCCAGGGCAGCCGTGGCTACAGTGTAGCTTGCCATCACCAGCGAGTGAATGACTGAATGTAGTAAAGCGCTTTGGGGTCCATAGGGACTAAGTAAAGCGCTATACAAATACAGGCCATTTACCATTTTTTGGAGCCTGCAGGACAATGACGGCTGGAGCAGCTATTAGTTGGACTGGGGAGTTAGCTGCCGAGTGCATCCTAACTACTCTATGATACTTTAAACCTGATGCTAAGACTTCTTTTGAAAAGGTGTGAAGTCTATGATAATAAATAGAAGCTTCTCGGTGTAATGGGCTCAACACTGTCAGAGCCAGTTTCACACCTTAAAAAGTGTTTAAGCTGAAATCGTATTAGTTACATATAAAAATGGTTGCAATGAACATGAAATGTACAAATGAAGCCAAAGCTATGAGAAGGTGTCAACACATGAGTGTGGATGTTACACTAATGCATGGCTTCTGCTCAACTTCCTGTGCTGTGATTTAACTTGTTGAGATCAACTGGTGTTTATTATTTACACTGTCAAACTCAAAATTACAAGTAATTAGAAGTAACACACACACACACACACACACCACACCCCCCCCACCACACACACACACACACACACACACACACACACAATGACTGTGATTGTGTTAAAATGGCATTTGACCAAGACAACACAGCACCAAGCTAGCAGGACATATGTGGAGGAGGCTCAGCATCTTTAGATCTCTCCACCTTCAGTCAGCCCTCGTTGACACAAACACATTAAGACACTGAGATCATTATAGTTAACTAAAACTAGATGTGAGGAAACAAACTAAAAAAAAGGACTGTTGAAAAAATTTATACATTTGAAAAGATTCTGTGAACTTTGAAAACTACGGTAAAATAAAAACATGAAGAAAGCCGTAGCTTTAGTATCTGTTGGAGATCGTTAAAGATTTGTGTTACAGCTTTCATTACTGATGAGGCATTGATGAGCGTGCTTATTGATACTCTGTATGTCTAAAGGGCTGTGAGTCAACTGCTTTCAAAAGGTTTTGTGCTTTCATTGTAACGCCTGTACTGATTTTCCTGACTGTTGCCTCTGACACGTCTAAATATGACACATGTTTATACAATAATACATTTACCTGAACAAATGCATGTGCTGCAGCAGCAATTATTGTGTTGTTTAGTTCTTACAATTCTTTCTCTCACCTCCTGATTGTGCAAAATGTTTTATTAAGTTTTGAAAGTGTAATTTCACAATGTTTTGTGTTGTTTATGAGCCAAAGAGTCGCATTTTGTAGCTCTGTAGGGGTATACTCTTACTGTGCAGCAGTTTGCTCCACAGCAGACCAATAAAGTTGAACTTAAACACGACACAGCGTGCCCATGTGTGTGCTTGTATGTGTGTTTCGTCTGTGTTGGTGTTGGGTGTGTATGTGTTTTCTGAGTAAGTGTTGTTTGTGCTAAGTTCAGCTAAATAAGCAAGAGACGCACAGTCACAGTCACAGCTACACATGGCAGCTTGCCTTCCAGAAGGGGTGTGTGTCCATCACACTCTCCTCTCGGGCAGCCATTGCCAAAAGACGCACAATTTCACAGTGAAACAAATAAGTCCTATTTAGTATTCCTCCCAAAGTGCAGCAGAAACCGAGCATACACTGTACACCTACCTGTCAAGTGATACAGCCTGATTTTGTCAAAATCTCTTTGAATCAATGACTCCAGCATGGAAGAACTACATTAACTGCGATTATTCTGCCCCTCGTTTGTGGCTTGGTTGGGTTTCTTTGGCTGGCGAATTTCTCAGGTTTCCCAATAGTGGGCAGTATTACCCCTTCAGTTTGTGGCTTCTTCTTTGGTTATTTGGTGTGCACTACACTGCCCCCTTTGGTGATGGGTTGTAAGCAGCAGGCAAAGTTCACGCAGGCAGTGTGAGAAAATGCATGGAGCAGAAAACAAGCTGCACAACTTTAAGCCCAGTTTACATCGTTGGGGAGTTTGTTGAGCCATAATCTGTAAGTAAGCAATGTCTAGCTTCATTTTCTGTAAGATTTGTTACTTTCATGTTACTTAAAAGGTTATTTGAACGTATGGTAAATGGTAAATGGCCTGTATTTATATAGCGCTTTACTAGTCCCTAAGGACACCAAAGCGCTTTACACATCCAGTCATCCACCCATTCACACACAGGTGATGGCAAGCTACATTGTAGCCACAGCCACCCTGGGGCGCACTGACAGAGGCGAGGCTGCCGGACACTGGCACCACCGGGCCCTCTGACCACCACCAGTAGGCAACGGGTGAAGTGTCTTGCCCAAGGACACAACGACCAAGACTGTCCAAGCCGGGGCTCGAACCGGCAACCTTCCGATTACAAGGCGAACTCCCAACTCTTGAGCCACGATCGTATAAGGAAAGATGTTAATGATGAATGTAAAGCATAAGGAAAGCTATGTTGCTAACTTCTGTTTTGTTTATAAAATATGTTGATACTGATGCTTACGTATTATTTTACTGTATGTTCACAGTCTTACAAATTAAAAGAGGAAAAAAGGGTCTTCAGTTAAAGACACAAAGACAAAGCGATGTGTCCTGTCGTTCCTGGAACCATCCCCTCTTATGTTAAGCTCGCTGCATAGGGTGAATAGCCATACATTCACCTGAGGGCAGCAGAGTAAGAAGATTATCTATCTATCAAGCACCCAAGATGTCTCAGCCTGAAGCGTCTCTCCCAGATGGTGGTCCGGTCAGAGTGCCACTCACGCTCTTCACGCTCTTCACGCTCTTCACGCTCTTCACGCTCTTCACGTCGTTCATCCACCAGTCAAGCTGCAGCCCGAGCCAGAGCAGAAGCCGCCCGCACCAGACCACAGTACGCGAAACGCCAGATCGACATGGAGGTTGAGAAGGCACACATTGAGGCAACACTAAACGCTCTAAAGAAGGAGGGTGAGGCTGAAGCAGCGCTCGCCGCAGCTCATGTCCTGGAAGCGGCAGCCGATGAGGAGCATGACGCCGTTGACCTCACAGAACAAGGAGTCTCCTCTAAGACATCTCCTTCCATCAGACATGCTCAAGATTATGTGAACGCTCACTTCGCTAATCGCAGCTTGGTAGTTAATGAAGACGGAAAGCCTGATACAGGACAACTGGTTGGTAATAACAACGCTCAGCATCTACGACAGAGTCAACCACCAGTTGCCTCCTCTCCAGGTGAACATCTCACTGATTTTGTAGATCAGGAGCAACCAAAGTCCCCTCCTATAAACAGAAAAACTGACATTTCAATCCAGCCTAAACCTTCATTGCCTCCAAAGACTGAACTCTCAGATTTCACAGCCTATCTAGCACGCCGTGATCTGCTGACAGCGGGATTCAAGGTTTTCGACAACCGTCCTGAGTCTTACTTGTCCTGGAAGTCCATTTTCCGCAACGCCATAGAAGGCCTCAACCTCAAGTTCAGCGAAGAGCTTGACCTTCTCAACAAGTGGCTCAGCGGGGAGTCACTACAACATGCGCTGAGGATCAGGGCGGTCCATGTGAACAACCCACACGCAGGTCTTCAACGTTTGTGGCAACGTCTGGACAAAAGTTTTGGTTCTCCAGAGGTAGTCGAAGCATCACTTTTCCAACGCTTAGAGTCTTTTCCAAAAATATCTAATAAGGACACTAACTTATTGCAGGATCTTGCAGATCTCCTGTTGGAGTTAGAGTATGCACAAAGTGAAAATTATCTACCCGGCCTTAGCTTTCTGGACACCCCAAGGGGGATAAACCCGATAGTGGAAAAGCTCCCCTACGGACTCCAGGAGTCCTGGGTGAAACAGGGGACAAAATACAAAAAAGGACGACGGTGCAGTTTACCCACCTTTCTCATATTTTGTTCAGTTTATAAATGATTATGCAGAAATGAAAACAGATCCTAGCTTTATGTTACAAAGTTCAAACATAGTAGCTCCAAAACCTGATAAGCCATTGTTGAAACCAACTAAATACAGAGGTGCGGTTGCAGTGAACAGAACAGATATTAGTCAAACAAATGTCACAGCTCGAACGTCAGTTCTCAACCCAGACAGACAATGTCCTATTCACCACAAGCCCCATTCACTTGCCAAATGCAGGGGTTTTAGGTAAAAAAAAAATAGATGAAAGGAAAAGCATCCTCAAAGAACATGCTATTTGTTATAAGTGTTGTTCTTCCACAGGTCACCGAGCTAACGATTGCAAAGCCATTATCCAATGCTCGGAATGTAACAGTGACGCTCACGTGTCTGCCATGCATGCTGGACCACCTCTGTGGGCAACCAAGGACTCTAACCTCCTGCCTCAAAGCCACGGCGGGGAGTCTGATCCTTCAAGCCCTGTAACCACAACTGCTTGCACAGAGGTGTGTGGCCCACGTCTAAAAGGTAAATCCTGCTCTAAGATTTGTTTAGTCGACGTGTATCCCCGCACAAATCCTAAAGAGAAAAAGAGGATGTACGCCATGTTGGATGATCAAAGCAACTCATCCTTAGCCAGGTCTGCTTTCTTCAACATGTTTAATGTGAAAGGCACTATGCTCCCATACACCATGAAAACATGTGCAGGTTTGTCAGAGGCTGGAGGACGAAGAGCAACTAATTTCGTTACTCAGGATGTAAATGGGGAAGTGTCCATGGTGCTGCCCACACTGACAGAATGTGATCACATTCCAGATAATAGAGATGAGATACCCACCAAGGAGGCTGTGTCGGCTCACCCTCATCTACATGCACTCACTTCACAGATCCCTCCTCTGGACCCAGCCGCGGACATTCTCCTCCTCTTGGGCAGGGACATCATCCAAGCTCACAAGGTTCGCAGTCAGGTAAATGGTCCAAACAGTGCACCTTATGCCCAACGCCTCGATCTGGGATGGGTGGTTGTAGGCGATGTCTGCCTCTCAGGTGCCCACAAACCCACAGTAAACTCTTTCAAGACAGACATTCTGAATAACGGGCGCCCTACCTCCCTTAGCCCCTGTGCAAGCAAAATCTATATAAAAGACAAATACACAGAAAGCTGTCCTAAATTCAAGAAGACACAAGCAGAAGTAGGCAGACACATTTTCCAGCAAACAGCAGATGATGACAAAACGGCTCTTTCAGTAGAAGATGCATTATTCCTGGAAATTATGCACAGAGACTTTACTAAAGATGAGGCGAACAATTGGGTAGCTCCACTCCCATTCCGCTCCCCCAGACAGCGTTTACCCAACAATAGGGACCAAGCCCTTAGTCGCTTAATGACGCTCCGCAAAACCTGAAATGAAAGAACATTACATTGAGTTTTTAGACAAAACTTTCAGTAAGGGCCACGCTGAACCAGCTCCAGCTTTAGCTCCAGAACAAGAATGCTGGTATCTCCCTAGTTTTGGCATTTATCACCCTCAGAAGCCAGGAAAAATTAGGGTGGTTTTTGATTCAAGTGCGCAATACAACAATGTTTCTCTCAATGATGTGCTACTAAAAGGGCCAGATCTCAATAATACTCTTGTGGGAGTTCTGATGCGTTTCAGGTCCAACCCATACGCAGTCATGGCCGACGTGGAGCAAATGTTTTACAATTTTGTTGTCAGAGAAGACCACCGCAACTACCTTCGCTTCTTGTGGTTCAAAAACCATGATCTGGATGGAGAAGTACAGGAATTCAGGATGAGAGTCCACGTGTTCGGGAACTGCCCCTCCCCATCAGTGGCCATTTATGGACTGAAACGAACAGCGATGGAGGGAGAAAAAGAACACGGCAATGATGTAAGAGAGTTCATTGAACGCCACTATCCATTATGTGGATGATGGACTAAAATCATTTCGATCATGGTGCTGTTTTTTTTTTCTACCAGCAGTTTTTTTCTCTTGTGCACTTGAACCATTTTTAAATAAATATACTGAGACAGTTTTTGCTGCAAATTGTGTAAGGTTCCAGCTTAACTCGAATCAAAGCCACAAGTGTCAGAGACTGGTGCTGTTATTGGGAGTTCAGCTCGGTGCATCAGCAGCCTTACCATACACCACACGACGTTTGATCACAGTTTCGACAAAAGCAAGTATAGATTGTCGGGTGTGCAGTAAGTAGGAGTGGGAAAATGTAGCGCTGTAAAATGTTCACATGATTAGGCATTGTAGTTAAGAATTGTTGTCTTCCCCAAAGAGCTGAAAAGACATTGTGTCTGCATTAATTTTTAAAATGTAGAAAGTTAGGGAGCCTTCAGTAGGAAGATACAAAAAGCTGTTTTTTACAGCAACATATAATTCTCCATTTATAGTATTTTCCATTTACCTGCTTTCACAGAGTCATTTACTTGGACACAGTCAGTACTTGTTTCAGCAAAATTGCCACCAGTCTGGAGTCAAGTCGATGCTTTTGTGCCTATCGTCTCTCTTTCTCCTCTCTGTCTCTGTTCTTTAAAAGTATTACTTTCAAACAGCAAACTGTATTTTTGCATTTTTTAAATTCAGGCTCACAGCTTCCATTGACATCCCCAAGTACTATTAAAGATTTATATAAGCCTGTAGCCAAAAAAGTACTTTTCAAGGTAAAAGACAAGGCTTTCTGCGACAGTTAGTCCGGTTTGAAAAATTCCAAAATAACAACGTACTGTGGGATATAAAAAAGAACATTAAGTTTTAAAAAAAGCAAAAACTGAATCTGAGTTCAATCTTGCTACTGTCCACAACAAGGTTGTCTTATTTTGAAGTGCTGCAGTGCTATAGGGTTCTTGCTAAGCCAGCAAACATGGTAGAAACGCTAACGTCATCTCCAGGGTCATTCGACGTTCAGTCAGCTCTTTCTTAAAAATTGAGAAATATACATCAGATTATTGCAGTGAAAGAATTAAATTATAATTAAATTGTTATTTTATTTATTTTAGTGCATTTGCTTATCCACTAAAATAAATGCAATTAAATAAACTTCAAATTGGTGTCCACAACAACTTTTATTCTTTGACAACTTTTATTTTGAAACAACTTTTCAAATAGGACTAGATGTAGACAAAAAAATCACAGGAACTTCTGCTATATTTGCCCTAAAATGAATGTCACACCTTTTACATAGATAAAAAATTATATTATAAGCACAGCAGCAATGAAGCACAGTACTAAAAGACAAAGTATAGTTGATTTTAAATTCTACAGCTTAGACTAAGTTGAAAAGAAGATAAGCCTGTGAGTCAACCACAGCTCCGACAGAAGAGAATGGGCCACCTCGTACGACTGGCAGATAAAAGATGTGCTGCGGACAGACAGACAGACAGAAAGAAACGTGTCTATTAAAAACATCCATCATTGTCTAAAGATCTGCTTCATGGTTCGATCTCTCATAGTTTATTCAAAGATGGATTATTACAGGCACTGAAGGTGGGCTTACACTGAATAAATGTGATTAAACGATTTATATCTCTTGCTCTAACTTAGTTCTTGCAGCTCCGTCACCACATCTCTTCTCTTTAATGAGAACAATGTTTTTATAATGATTTTTAAATTACACTTTGGGATAATCAGCAGAATTATTGTCATAAATAAGCAAGATTTCAAAATCACAAAATAGCAGGTACTGTACGTTGTAGACATTTATTTTCTAAAATGTCCAATTTGTATTTCTTTTCTCCTTTTTTCTCTCCTAAAACTAATTGTGCCTTCATCTCCAACACAAAGCAATTAAATGAGGAAGAGGCTGAGGTTGGGAGATAATGGAAATTTATTCCACGCAGTAAATTGAGAATTACAAGTATATGCACTGTGCGAGAACGTGATGAAATAAAAATGGACATCTGCATTTTGGAAGTGAGTGCACAGTCACTTGAAGGACTGGATCTTACGCTCTAGTGATATACTGCTACTGTCAAGCCAACCCTCTGTTTTAACCTGTTTGAACAGCAGAAGACGCAGATCCAGCTCTTCTCCGCAAAAGCACCGTGTTTTCAGTTTAGTCTTTTCAAACCTAGAAGAAAGTATGAAAAGACAAAAGGAAATGCCGCTCAAACATTACTAATCCATCAGATGCAGCATATATCCTTAAGCAACACACTCACATACTGCACAAGCACAAGTACATCTGTTTAATGTAAACCCGCAAAGAATGCACACGCATGTACACACATTGGGCAATACATCACTATGCAAACAAAACAAGGATGTCCAGCCATGCATGTGCATTTAAATGAAGTGGCTCTCAGGCATGCACACAAACATACAGATCACTTAATATAAACTCTGCAACACGCACATAAACACAAGCTCGCAATAATACACAGTTGAGTACATAGACACACATCAGCTCATTTCTCTGGGAAATAAGATTGTGGAAGGTGTCACAGATGTCAGCAGTGACTGTCACGCCCCAGGGGATTCTGGGAAACGAGAGCGATAAATGAAAAAAAAAAAATTGGGGGAGTCTGACTTTTGCAGGGGAGAGGGAGATGTGAGTACAAGCCAAGGAGATGAAGGCGAAGGAGGAACAATCAATTCTCTGACACCTCTAAATGTGCACTTGATGATGCATACCTAAACAGGCCTGAAACGGTCCACAGGGAGAGTGAAAGGGAGTGAAAGAGGTGAAGGAGGAAAAGGTGGGTATAGAGGAAGTGAGAGACTAGATTAATGAAGAGAAATTGGGAAGGAAGGAGATAAAGGAAGAACTAAGTTAGAGAGATTGTTACATACGTCCATTTGAGCCTTAAATGGCACTTGGTCCTCAAAGGACTCGGATCTAAGTGAAGCGGTCAGCCTTGTAGGTTGTTCCTGGGTCTGTAGAGAATGAAGAGGGGGAGAGAAGTTGCATGAAGATGAGAGGGAGGTGAAGGAGCGGCCAGAGATTGGCCGTGGGACTCGCAAGTGCTCTCACCCTAACCACAGTCCATTTACCGCAAACCCTCAAAAAGCTTTTGGTTAATCTGCATAAAGACTGAGATAAGAAACCTTGCATAAGCCTATTTTTCCTCATGATTATCTTCAGGGCATTTTCTACACTTTAGAAAGAGAAAGGCAATGTAATGATAACAAGTCACCTGAGTTAATTAGAAACATGCATGCAAAATCTGGCCGACTAAGGAAGAATTAATGTGCAATAGTCTTTAAAATGAGATGAGTGAACCTTTGTGTAACAAGTAAAACCTCTGTTGAGTGGATGATGGCTGTAATAATGTACTTTTTTAAGTACTCAATGGAATGTGTACCTGCCCTGTGACCTTGGGGTATGAACATGAGACCTATCAGAGTGTCCAGCCAAAAGGAAACCACATCACCAGTGGTTTCCTTTGGGTTGAACATTTTTTGAGTGTCCTGATT